TTAATGACTCACTAAATTTATTCTAAAATTTTATATGCAAGAATAAAAGTATATCACAAGTTAAGTCAATCTTGGATATGAAAAACAAGAGTCAAAGCGGGCTTGCTTTTCCACATATTAAGAAATACTTAAAGACTGAAAAATAAAAACATTCTGATATTAGCATAAATCCAGACAACTGTATCAAAGGAAGAGAACTAAGTGCTATATACCAATGAATATAGCAGGATTCCTTATTCAATAGTGTTGTTCAGAAATTAATGAAGCAAACCAATTTTTAATGGATGGCAGAGGGAAAATTGGTTCACTATGCCACTTAACACATTTACTCCAAATTGATTAAATACATAATATGAAGAGTAACCTACAGTTTATAGAAGAAAACATAGGAGAAATATTCATGAAATAGGCAAGTAAATAAAATTCTCAAAGCACAAACCTAAGGCAAAAAACATGAATTTGCACTTCCAGTAAAATGGTGGAATAGGCAGACAAGCTACACAGACCCTCTTCAACAAAGAAAAGAGAAACCAATTGGCAGAGATACAGAATAATCCTTGAACTCTGAGGTTTGAAAGGAAGTATACAGAAGTGGATTCAGCACCAACTAGTGGAAAAACCTGAATGAAAACATGAGTACAGAGACAGTCAGAGCAGAGGACTGTCAGCTACTCTGACAGAACCAACAGCCTGAATATTTCCAAGTGTTGTTGGGACCTGAGAATTGACCTAAAGATCAGCCCTGGTCACCAAAGGCTGCAGGGACAACTGTGCTGGTGGCCTGTGACTAGGAAGGGAAACAGCAGGGAGGGAGACAACCAGAGCTGTGGACTTTCCACTGTCCAGAGTGCGCAGCCATTTTGATTATTTACAAGTAGTAGCCATTCTGGATATTTAAAGTGACTGAGGGTGCAGCCATTTTGACTGTTTACAAGAGGCAGCCATTTAGGATATTTAAAGTGACCAAAGGTACAGCTATTTTGAATATTTACAAGTGGTGGCCATACTGGATTCTAAAGTGACAGCATTCTCATCTAGATTCCAGGGACTTAAGAATAGGTTCTATTTACCAAGGACGGCAAAGACATATGGGAGGCTGACAATAGGAATGGACACAGGTGGTGAGTGTATAAGTGCTGCCAACAGAGGAGCACAGTACCCTGCTTACTTAGAAAAAATCCAAAGAAAACAAAAATCATGGGCAAGTCACTCCAAAATATAATCACCCATTAAATATAAAAACATCACAGACAATTAAATATAAATAAAAAAACATCACTGACAGACAAGTTCATCTCCCTTAGCTGTTCCAAATCTCTCCAGCCACTTCCTGGCCTTCCCTCTACCTGTTCCGGCTGTCAGCCTTGGCTTCCCACTTCCTACCTGGGTGGGGATTCTCCCTCCCCTTCCCTAGATCCAGACTTTGGCTCTGGCTTCTTCCTGGTTCCTCCCTTGGGTCGGGGCTCTGCCTCCCCCTACCTAGATCTGGCTGTCAGCCTTGGCTGCTTTTCATTTCCTGCCTTGGGTGGGGGCTCTCCCTCCCCTTACCTGGATCTGGCCATTGGCCCTGGCTTCTTCCTGCTTCCTGCCTTGGGCAAGAGCTCTCCCTCCCCTTACCTGGATCTGGCAATCGTCCCTGGCTTCTTCCCACTTCCTGCCTTGGGTGGGGGCTCTCCCTCCCCTTTCCTGGCTCTGGCTGTCGGCCCTGGCTTCTTCCCACTTCCTGCTATTATTCAAATTTATACAACAACCACTAAAGCCAAAGATACAGAAATCGAAGATTTCTACCAATTTCTGCAGTATGAAATTGACAAAACATGCAATCATGATGTATTCATCATTACTAGTGATCGGAATGTGAAAGCTGGAAACAAAAATCATCAGTAGTTGGAAAATATGGACTTGGTGATCCACATGATGTTGGAGATCGAACGACAGAATTCTGCAAGACTAATGACTTATTTGTTGCAAATAACTTTGTTCAACAATATAAATGGTGGCTATCCACGTGGACCTTGCCAGATAGAACAGACAGAAATCCAAGTGACTGCATCTTTGGAAAGAGGTGATGGAGAAGCTCAATGTCATCAGTCAAAACAAGACCAAGAGCTAACTGTGGAACAGACATCAACTGCTTATACACAAGTTCAAGTTGTAGCTGAAGACAATGAAAACAAGTCCATGTGTTTTGGTTACTTCATGTTGCTCTAACAGAAAATTCCACAAATGGATGGCTTGAACAAATAGGAGTTTATTCCCTTACAGTTTACAGAGGTTAGAAGCCTGACTTCAAAGTGCCAGGTCTAGGGGCTGGGTGAAGACCTTGGTCTTCAGCTCGACTTCTTGCTCCCAGCCCACTGCAGTTAGACATGTCTCTTCCCTCAGGCAGCTGCTGGCTGTTGAGGCTAACAAGCCCAAGGTCAACAAGTAAAAAGGCACAAAAAATAACCCAACCAAACTCAATGCCATCAAATCAGTCCCAACTCATAGCAACCCCTCCTTGGGTTTCCGAGGTGGTATTTCTAAAGAAGTAGATTGCCCAATCTTCCTTCCGAGGAGTGGCTGGTGGGTGTGAACCACCAGCCTTCTGGTTAGCAGTCAAATGCCTTAGGCAATATGCCACCAGAGCTCCCTAAAAAGTCACAGTCCCGATATTACCAACCATACAATAGGCCATTGATTCAAGTCCTTTAACAGTCTCAAGATCAGCAGACAAGAGGGCAGTCTGCTGAACAACAACTTCTTACATACTAGAAGCAGGCCACATCCTTAAAGCAGCGACACAGCTGCTCCAATAGATTCCACCATGGAGTTGATTACCAATCTCACTGTGGGGGGTAACTACATCCAGCTGCCCAGCCACTCAAAACCAGGCCCAGCCAAGCTGACCACAACCTTAACTACCACACCATGAGACCAAAAATATGACCCAGATTACATCCCACCTGAATTTAGAAATCATCTGAAGAACAGATTTGATGTGCTGAAACCCAATGACCAAAAACAAGATGAACTGTTGGATGACCTCAAGAACATCATACATGAAGAAAGCAAAAGGTCAGTAAAGACAGGAAAGGAAGAAAAAACCAAAATGGATGTCAGAAGAGACTTGGAAACTTGCTTTTGGATGGAGAGTAGCTAAACCAAATAGAAGAAATAATGAGATAAAAGAACTGAACAGAAGATTTTAAAGTGCAGGTCAAGAAGACAAAGCAAAGTAGTATAATGAAATGTGCAATGACCTGGCATTACAATACTAGAAGTGAAGAACATACTTGGCACTTCTCAAGCTGAAAGAACTGAAGGAAAAATTCAAGTCTCGAGTTGCAATACTGAAAGATTCTATGGGCAAAATATTGAATAATGCAGGAAATATCAAAAGAAGATGGAAGAAATACACAGAGTCACTGTACCAAAAAGAATTGGTCAATGTCCAACTATTTCAGGAGGTAACATATGATCGGAAACCAATGGTATTGAAAGAAGTTCAAGCTGCACTGAAGGAACTGGCAAAAAACAAGACTCCGGGAATTGATGGAATGTTGTTGTTAGGTACTGTTGAGTTGGCTCCAATCCATAGCAATTCTTTGTACAACAGAATGAAACACTGCCTAGTCCTGTGCCAGGAGATGTTTCAACAAAGAGATGTAGCACTAGAGGCACTTACTCATCTATGCCAAGAAATCTGGAAGACAGCTACCTGGTCAACTGACTGCAAGAGATCCATATCTGTGCTCATTCCAAGGAAAAATAATCCAATAGAATGTAGACCCTTTTAAAGTGCTAAAGAGCAATGATGTCTCTTTGAAGACTAAGGTGCACCTAATGCTAGCCATGGTATTTTTAATCACTTCATGTGCATGTGAAAACTGGACAATGAATAAGGAAGACCGAAGAAGAGTTGATGTTTTTGAGTTGTGGTGTTGGCAAAGAATACTGAAAGTACCATGAATTGCCAGAAGAACTAACAAATCTGTCCTGGAAGAAGTGCAACTAGAATTCTCCTTGGACGTGATAATGGCCAGACTTCCATCTCACTTACTTTAGCCATGTTGCCAGAAGGGACCATTCTCTGGAGAAGGATATCATGCTTAGTAAAGTAGAGGGTCAGCGAAAAAGGGGAAGGCCCTCAGTGAGATAGATTGACACAGTGGGTGCAACAATGGGCTGAAATATAGCAAGGATTATGAGAAAGGCGCACAACATCAGGTATAGCAGTACCATGAATGTATCTTACATATATAATGTTGAACAAAAAAACCAAAAGCCAAAGAACATATACTGTATAATTTCATTTATATAAAGTTCAAAAACAGGTAAAACTAATCCATGGCGTTAGAAATCAGGAAAGTGGTTATTCTGGGAAGAGCAAAGTGTGTAGTGACTGGGAAGGGCACAGAGGGGTTATGAGATGCTAGTAATGTTCTATTTCTTGTCCCGAATGGTGGTTATATGAGCATATTCACTTTGCATAATTTACCACACTGTTCAATCACAATCATGGGTAGTTTTCTATATGTATATTACATTTGAATTTTTTTTAAAGTAAAAAAATTAATCAAATATTAGATAAAGGAAAGAAGGAACTGCTAAATCCAAAACAAATTTGTCAAAGAAGTTAAACAATTGGCAAGTAGCTAAAGTAAAAACCATGACAGGGACAGTAAAAGAAAATACAAACACACACATATGCGATTCTTTTGCATTTACACATATGCAATTCTTTTGGGGAGAATGGGTAGAAATACCTACTTCCTACACAAGTCTAAATACAGAAAATCCTAAAAAGGAATGAAATCTAAAATGTAGATAGACTAATTGGCTTAGATATGAAGAAGGAATGCACTTGCTGTGCTGAAATTTAGAGGAAGTAAAAGAGAAAAAAAGCACGAACGCTCATATGGAAGAGGCCTTGGGACTTTGAGGGAAATTTCTGGATAACGTCTACATGGTGTTCTCTCTCAAGTGCCCCATTTTGTGCCAGATCACCCTTCACTTACCCAAACACAAGCCTCTTGTCAGTTCTCTGTCAATCATCCAGGGCTCTTTTCCTTGTTCCAATAAGGAGATCACAGCTGGTTTAGAACTGGAAAGTCCTGCTTGCAAGAAAGACATGAGACATTGTTACGCTGTGGGTGTTCTCCCAGAACTGAGATCCACTCCCTTGATGATCAAAGAAAAGATGTCCCTATAGGAAGGACCACAAAAAGATGGAGAAGGTAAAGCTTTAGCTGTAGCCAATTGGAGCTGCCCATTAACAACTCTTCTATTCAAATCCAAACAACTCTTCTATTCAAACCATTCTTTTGGGAACAGGGAGCGGGAATTCAGTTGGCTACTGAAACGAGTAACTCACAATGAAAGAGATGTTCCTGAGGGCTGACTCTAAATTTAGGGGGAACAGTTATCCTTACCCACTGAAACCAGGTTGCTGTAATTCTCCAACATCACATCTCTGTATAAATTCATCTGATCAGAGTCCAGGCATTCCCATTCCTGCAGAGAGAAGTCTATGGACACATCCCAGAACATCATTAACCCTTGAAGCAACAAACATGCTTCACAATGGAAAGAGAGAAGAAAAAAATGGTATTAGAGGAGGTAGTGGCAGGCTCTGCAGAAAACAAAAATTAGTGAGCAAATTGAAGGTGCTAGAATTCTCTTAGGAGGAGCTCTGGTAGCATAATGGTGAAGGCATTTGACTGCTACTGGTGGTTCAAACCCACCAGCTACTCTTCGGAAGGAAGGTTGGGCAATCTACTTCCACAGTAATACCTCCTCAGAAACGCAAGGGGGGGTCGCTATGAGTCAGGTTCAACTCAAAGGCATATAACAACAACAATAACAGGTTTCTCTTACATCAGCAAAGATTTAAGTCTGCGTACAGAGATACATACCTAGAAATGTACAAATAGAGTACTTTTCCAATAAGATGAAACAGCAAATTCAGCTTAATACCTGCCACACAGTAAAGTCTTCATTAATGTGAGTTCTTTCTTCCTTCTGTTTTTCCTTTTAAGACCCAAATGTAGTGCAGTGATTATTTGGCTCTTCTAGTCATGGTTTTCGTGAATCCCTCTAGATGACTGATTCAAACTACACAAATGTAAGGTGACTGTGGCCCACCAAGGGGATTGGATAGCTTGCTGATAAAGAAAACAAGACACATGGCACCCTTGTGGGGGTGGGACCATCCAAATAAGATATATGGAACCATGCTAACATGGGGATTGCTCAGTTTTGCAATTCTGCTAAGCTTAAAATGAGCCATCCCAGAGGCAGAAAAGGGGGATTTCACTGCCACCAAGAGATAAGAGCTGGTGGTTGAGCATGTCCTTGGACCCAAGACCTCTGCGCTGAGACAGCAGAGAGATGTCAGCAGCAGAGGGTGCAGAAACAAACAAACAAACAAACAAACAAAGAGTAGGAGTCAGAACAGCGGGTTTTCCACCTGCAGAGCAAGAAAGCTGAGTGCCATCAGGCAGGAGCCTTGGTGGTGGAGTATGGTGCCTCTTTGGGCACCTATTGGCAAAGCTACTATATAACAGTGGCCCAAGTGGAGCAGAGGTGGAGTCCAGGGAGAAGCATGCCTGTAGCACAGCTGAGAAGCTGTCCTGATTGAAGAACTGTATCCTGCTTTTACAATTTTTTAAACAGAAATAATGGAAGATGTGGAAAAAAAAAAAAAAATAGCAACACATTGATGGAACTCTCAAGTTAAAAAAAAAAAAAAAAAGTAAAAGCCAGCAGCCTACTGTAGTACTTGGATGAACAATATTTGCAAGGTTATAAAAGAGGAGGCAAAACAAAACACGACTGAGAAAATTGTCAAAGACTTGCTAACAGAAACTCTCCCCCATATCATGAAGGAAGAAATGATATCCATCCAAGAAGCTCAACAAACCCCATATAGGACAGGATAGATCCTAAGAGAAAGTCACCAAGACGTATCATTATCAAACTTCCCAAAACTAAAGACAAAGAAAGAACCTTGGGAGCAGCTCAAGAAAAATGAAATTATCACCTACAACGGACAACCAATAAGACTAAGCTCTGATTTATCAGCAGAAACCATGAAGGCAAGAAGGCAAAGGGATGGCACATACAAATCCCTGAAGGAAAAGAACTGCCATGCCAACCAAGAATTATAACATCCAGCCAAACTGTCCCTCGAATGTGAGGGTGAAATCAAGACATTCTCAGATAAACAGTAATTAAGGGAATTTGTGAAAACCAGACCAACCCTACATGAAATACTAAAGCTAGTCATTCCAATAAAGAACCCACAACAGCGAATAACAAATTAAAATTAAGACTGCTTGACACCACCACCTAGAAACCAAATCAGAAAAAGATTCTCAAAATAAGCTCACAAAAAATAGTATATATAGAGAAATAGGGGAGTCAATCTCCAGACACCAGCAGCAAAGCAAAGAGAGGGAATAAAAGTCTTAATTACAAAACTTCCAAATGGAGAGGAAGTCAGGATGATGTCTTTATGGAATAGACTATTCCAAATGTAGGGAGATAAGAATTTACTTCAGGGTAACCACAGAGATATCTAACAATCCTTCTAAGAAAACTCAGAAAGAGTTTGTAACAAGGGCTTAGTAAGCACTAAACAACAGTGAAGAAAAGAGAAAAAAACACTTGATAACAAAATGAACTTAGCACAGAAAAATATTCGGAACAAGGAAATCACCAACAACATAACAAAAAACACAACAGAATGACAGCAATAAATTCATACCCATCACTAATTGCACTCAATGTGAATGGACAAATGCACAAGTCAAGAGATAGACTGGCAGACTGGATAAGAAAGAACAGCCATCAATATGCTGCCTACAAGATACCCACCTTAGATGCAAAGAAAAACTAAATTAAAAATCAAGGGGTGGGAAGCAATATATCAAGCTAATGGCAACCAAAAAAGACCAGGGGCAGCAATATTAGTTTCTGATAAAATAGACTTCAAGGTAAAAACCAGCATAAAAGACAAAGAAGGACACTGTATGATGTTAAAAGGTCAGTTGACCAAGAGAACATTACCCTAATAAATATCTATATATCCAATGAAAGAGCTCCAAGATACATGAAACAAATATTAACTGAATTGAAAGGAAAAACACAACTCTACAATAATAGTAGGAGACTTCAACACACCACTTTTAGGGAGTGACAGAACAACTAGAAAAAAATCTAAACAAAGATACGGAAGAACTCAACAACATAATCAACTAACTTGACCTCATAGACATATACAGAGTACACCACCCAACAAAAGGACAATACACATTTTTTCTCCAGTGCACACAGATCATTCTCCAGAACAGACCATATGTTAGGACACAAAACAAGCCTCAATAAATTCAAAAACACTGAAATACTACAAAGCTTCTTCTTAGATCACAATACAATAAAATTAGAAATCAACAGGAAGAGCAAGGGAAAAAAAGTCAAGTATGTGGAACCTGAATAATACACTGCTCAAAAACTACTGGGTAACAGAAGAAATAAAGTCTGAAGTAAAAAAATTCCTAGAAACAACTGAGAATGAAGCTACAACTTACCAAAACTTTTGTGACACAGCAAAAGCAGGGCTCAAAAGTCAATTTATAGCAATAAATACACACATCAAAAAAAGAGGAAAGAACCCAAATCAACACTTTAACTCAACAACTCCAACGATTATAAAAAGAGCAACAAAGAAACCTACATTATCCATAAGTAAGGAAATAATAACAATCAAAGCAGAAATAGACGAAGCAGAAAACAAATAAACAATAGAGAAAAGCAACAAAACAAGAAACTGGTTCTTCAAAAAGATTAACAAAATCAACAAACCACTGGTAAATTTAAAAAAAGGAAAAGAAAGAGAAGATGCAAATAACACAAATAATAAATGAAAAAGGTGACATCACAACAGAACCAGTGGGGGAAAAAAAAAGATAACAACAGAATATTATGAAAAACTGTACTCCAACAGATTCAAGAACCTCAAAGAGATGGAAACACAAGACCTACTTAAACTAACCCAGTCAGAGACACAATACTTGAACAGACCCATAACAAAAGGAGAAATTGAGAAGGTCATAAAAAAAACTCCCCACAAAAATGTCCTGGCCCAGACAACTTTATTGGAGAATTTTACCAAACATTCAGGGAAGAGCTGATACCTGTATTACTCAAATTATTCTAAAACATAGAAAATGATGAATACTCCCAAATTCATTCTATGAAGTAAGCATAACACTGATACCAAAACAAGTTAAAGATACAACTAAAAAGGAAAACTATAGACCAATTTCCCTCATGAATATAGATGTAAAAATCTTCAGCAAAATGCTAGCCAACAGAATCCAAAAAACATATCAAAAAAATAACATATCATGACCAAGTGGGATTCAAACCAGGTATGCAAGGGTGGTTCAACATAAGAAGAACAATCAAAGTAATCCACCACATACACAAAACAAACAAACAAACAAAAACATGTTGTTGTTGTTGTTATGTGCCGTCAAGTTGGACCTGACTCATAGCGACCCCTCCTTGGGTTTCCGAGGCAGTATCACTACAGAAGTAGATTGCCCCATCTTCCTTCCAAGGAGTGGCTGGTAGGTTTGAACTGCCAGCCTTCTGGTTAGCAGTCAAGTGCCTTAGGCACTATGCTACCAGAGCTCCTAAAAGAACCATATGATCATATTACTCGAAGCAGAAAAGGCATTCAATAAAATCCAACACCCATTCCTGTTCAAAACTTTCAGCAAAATAGGGAAATAAGGGAAAATCTTCAGCACAATAAAGGGCATATATGCAAAACCAACAGCCAACATTATGGTTAATGAAGAAAGACTCAAAGCATTCCCCTTGCCAAGAAGAATAGAAGACAAGGATGCCCTCTATCACCACTTCTATTTAACACTGTATTGGAAGACCTAGCCAGGGCCATAAGACAAGAAAGAGAAATAAAAAGCATTCAAATAGGCAAAGACAAAGTAAAGCTATCTCTGTTCCCAGATAACATGATCCTATACATGGAAAAACAACATACTCGGCAAAAAAAAAATACTGGAACTAATAAATTTTTGAATAAAGATTCAGCAAAGTGGCAGGATATAATAAGGCCAACACACAAAAATGAGCTGGATTTCTCTGTACCAACAAAGACCTCTGAAAAGGAAATAAGGAAAACAATACCATTTACAATAGCTATCAACAAGATAAAATACTTAGGAATACATCTTACCTAGGAGCTCTGGAAGCATAGTGCCTAAGGCACTTGACTGCTAACCAGAAGGCTGGCGGTTCAAACCCACCAGCCACTCCTCGGAAGAAAGATGGGGCAATCTACTTCCATAGTTATACTGCCTCGGAAACCCAAGGAGGGGTCGCTGAGTCGGGTCTGACTCGAGGGCACATAACAACAACAACAACACATCTTACCAATGACACAAAAGACTTACACAAAGAAAACTACAAAACACTAATACAAGAAAGTACACAGGAACTACATAAATGGAAGAATGTGTCAT